AAGATTTGAGGTTTATGCATGTGTAGTGGAATAGCAAGAGATGCTGACGCAGATTCAACATCATGAAGGAAGCATTACGAAGTGGTTTATGGCGCATTCATGTGCAACAAGTCCATGTCTGTTTATTATTTGGTGGATCATAAGTACAGCTATAAGACTCAGAGCAAGGGTCTTCACATTCCTCGCAGAGGGTCTTCTTTGAGCAAGGCTTGATGGGGAGAGTTGTGCTTTAATATGAAGTGTTAGAAATCAAATCAAATTTGCATTATTTACATAAGAGATTTCTACTAAAGAAGAGCTCCATCATCATCAAAGCCTTTTCCCAACTAATGGGGTCGGCTACACAAATCGGGGTCCATTATTCTGTTCTATTAAGGCCATACCCTCAGGAAGGCCATACGTCCCCATATCTTTTTTCAATACTTCAAACCATATCCTTTAGGACCTACCTTTTACCCTTTTAAGTCTTCTACTTGAACCAACTCGCACTTCGTAATAGGTGTTGTACTGTGTCTGCGTTGCACATGTCCAGTCTATCTAAGTCTACTTTTTCTCATCTTATCGCCAATTGGAGTCATACCTAAATTATCCTAAATGTTTTCCTTTCGAATTCTATCTCTTCTTGACCACCCAACATTTCACCCAACTTCCCCTTCGGCTTCATTGTTATATGGCGATTGTATAAAACTCTAGTTGCACATCTCCACTTCACCCACCCACTATGTACAACATCTTCCTCAATCTCTCCATTTTCCTGGATTATCAACCCAAGATATCGGACATGCGTTCTTTTTTAAATTTCTTGGTCATCAAATTTAACTACTTCCTCATCTCTACTCCTATAATTACTGAACTTGCATTAATAAAGGAGAGTTCCAAAAGAAGTCTGAGGGAAATCATTAGAGCTATGAAAAACTAGAATCCTGGCAAATGCAGTAATATTTTGTGTGACATGTCAATTTTTCAATAATCCAAGCAAGAAACACCGCAAAACATAAATTGACCAAATGCTGGGCATTCTATTCCTTTCCAATATCTGAAATCCAGTGTCTAAACATTGGGCAAGCGGCAAGCCTAATTACTTTTATCATATATCCCACCCTCCATGATTTTGCATCTCTTACCACCAAGAATTCAATATGTCTCCTTCATCCAATGTCCCTTTTTTTTTTTCGAAATCTCTGGCACCACACCTTGTACTTCTTAAATTAGTACACCATGTCTAATAAAGCAACTTACGCCATGTATTATTATAGACATCATAATATATTCACTAGGGAAAAGTTCCACTCCAATAGGAGTGGGTAACTTTTATAGAATAGATGAGATACTCATGAAAAAATAACCTAAATAGATTACGAAAAAGATATCAATATGATTAAACGAAAAGGAATTTGCCTGTAACAAAAGTTACAACAGTCAAAAAGAAAAACAAAAGACCGGGTAGCAGCAGCAGTAATAATACATTAACAATCATTTCCATTGAGAAGAAAAAAGGTAATTTTTCTTATTATGATAAATGAGTAGCATATAGCTCACATAGTTTTTCTTGCCCAAGGAATTGAACTAACATTTCAATAAAAAGAAAAAAGGTTTTGAATAATTACGTGATACCTCTGGAATTGGCTGCTGAATTACTGATTCAACGGCAACAACCATGGCTTGCACAAACTCATCACCTCCAGGACCAATGGCAGTAAAACCCCTTACTGTTGGATAAGAGTTCACCTGTGAGGTTAATAATATGAATCCATTATCCTATGATACTCCTAAACACCACCCATATTTTGGAGCATTAAAAGTTGCGATATATATACCAACAGGGGAGGGAGAATCCAAGCTTTTGTAAGTCGAAGGGTAGCAACATAATCATTTCATTTCACAAATCTATGCATATTATCGCTATTTAATGAGTTCCCCTCTGGTGTAAAATATATGGTTGCTTCTCTCGACTCAGGCATAAATAATCTTTATGTAGACTCGCCCCCATTGAAGTGGTTCTGTACTATTTCCTTTATTGGTTAGAGCTAGGGCATTGTATCCAACCCAACATTTAAATGTGTAATTGCTATGTTTCAATTTAACAATGGTGTACCAGAGTATGGGGGATGCTTTGTTCTTGTTCTCTCAAATAATATCCCCCATTAGTTTTGACGGCTGCCAGCTATGCTTTGGTAATGCATAGTTGCATTTCCTTTTCTTTATTTTTTGCCCTTTTTTTTTCCTCTCTCCATTTGTTTTTTTTTGGCTTTTGGTTACTGTAGTTTTCTTATGGGGCCTTTTTGCTTGTAAAGCAGACATATAAAGGAGCACAGGGGTCAGTGATACCATAGACCCCAACCCTAGCTAATTGCCTTCAAAATTGAACAAGACTTTAAAGAGCACTGATATTCCATGCTAATCGCCATACTATCCATCCTATGAAATAGACCCATATAGATATTATCTTCATGTTGCGTAGTATGGAGCTGCCTGCTAAAGCTTGAAGAACATCACACATTACAATGTGTCTTATCATCCATGATAGATTCAACAATAACCCAAGAAAAAGGAGGCAGATAAGCATGCCTAGTTGAAAAAGATAATCACACCAAGGGAAAAAAAGAAAACAACTTTACATAAGAAGTGTTCTAAGAACTTGTCATGGTTTGCCACCCTTGACCTTGAATTGACCATCAATTGTTTACTTTTACAAGCATTCATTTTGCACTACAATGGCTTCCACTTTTCACTTCTTCTATTAGAAGAAGTATGCATGTCTCAACAAAACTAAAGTCGAAACAACTACTTGCTCCAATTCAAGTTGATGGCTCTAATACCACACTGGTCTGTATTAGACGAGAAAATAATGATATACAAAACCTATAAGAAAACCCATGACATGCAAATAACATTTTTTTTAAGAAGTTATCAACTGTATTGAGGAGGGGTAAGAGTATAAAAATGGGCCCTGAGAGATTCAGGGGCTATATACAGCAAAAAATCGGTTCCCTAAATCAGGAAGCTCTATACAGAAATGCCCTGAGGGGGAACACAATTGAAGGACGAAGAGGAAGCGGGAGAGAGGGTGGGAACCCCAGGGGTGAGTTGGCTGAGTTTGAAAAAGATACTCAGTCTGTCGCATTTGTAGCACCCGCCTTGGCGAGAGAGTCTGCCACCTTGGCGAGAGAGTCTGCTGCTGAGTTGCTCAAATGATGAACAAGTCTCCAAGTAACCGTCAATCCTTGACTCACGTAAGAAACATCATCAATGACAAATAAGATTAAAGGATCGATTCTTCCGTGCAAAGTCCATAGCTACTACGCCAAGTAGAATCCAAACAAAGAGTTACTGATGCCCCAGCTAGTAAGCTCCTTTGAACTTTGTAGCGGCTACAATCTTATGCTTAAATGCACACCAAACTATGGATCACATAATAGCTTTGCTATCTGTTTAGGCAATAAACTCAAGCTACAAACTAAAGCAAGAAGTAGCTAATTGAAAGAGAGATGCTCCTAAAGCAACAACACATCAATAATGAATTTGGGAAACAGTCATTTTACTAGCATGAATGCCTCCTTGTCCTTGTAGGATATTCAAAGGAGAAATGCGATTGCTTGGGCAAGATCTATATGCAGATGGAGGAAGATCATGTGCTAACTTCCTTCGTGGTATTAACGCTGATTGCAAATGTCTCAAGGAGTATATTTTGGAAGTAACATTTTACTAGCATGAACACCTCATCCTTGTAGTACATTGAAAGGATAAATGCGATTGCTTGGGCGAGATTTATATGCAGGTGGAGGACAATCATGTGTTCACTTCCTAGGTGGTATGAAGGCCGATAGTGAATTTCTCAAGGCATATATTTTGGAAGTGACTCAAGCCTATCCCGAAGGTATCACCTATCTTTCGGAGAAGACAACAAAGAGAGACATGAGAAGCAATAAATATTCTCCTTCTCATGGATGAATATGTTCCTATAGCTAAGATCACTTGTAGTGGACGATTCACAAACCATTCAACACAGACAGCATGAAGTAAAAGGAGGAAAGGACCCCCCTAGCCAAATCCATGTATAGGATGTCGGGTGATGACATGGTAGAACTCTCCCATAGTGAACCTGGAGGAAGGAAGCGAAACCCAAGTTGCTAAGTTTTTTGTTAATGTTCTAAAAGTAGATATCTTACTATTGATCCTCCACTAAAAAATTGGAAATTAGTCATAAACTCTTTTTTGTCACAAACTCTTTTTAGAAAATAAATATATGCACTTAAAATTATAAATCCTTCAAAAATATTAAAAATAAATAAAGTGGGTTTCCTTTCTTTATGGTCAAGATAACATATTTATTTTGAAATACTTGAAAATTTTGGTAATACGGTAATAAAAAGTTAAAATCAGTCAGAGATATTTTTGAGAGTAGAAAATTTATAAATTCAAAACTGAAGATAAAAAAGCTAGGAAGTCTTATCGACTTTTTAGAATTTTAATATAAAACAATTCTAAGAAACATTAAAGCACAGCAATGATCTTTTAAAAATAATTTGAAATTCTAACTACAAGGAATAAACATCAATTATAGCCCTTTAAAATAAAAAATAAAAGACGAAGGAAACTTTTGTTGAAAATACAACTATACTTCAGTTGTACACTAATCAACTGTTCTCAAATATCTCACCAACATTAGTAACAATACAAATTATGTTGACAGTAGAGACCATCATTTTTAAAACATGACTAAATATGAAAATTATAAAAGTAAGAAGAATACATATAATCCTCAGACCAAGAAGAAGGCAAGGAAAAAAAAAAAAAGGAATGGAAAGAAGAAGCATGTCTTGTTTTTTTTTTTTTTTTGAAGCTGTTAACTTAAGCATATGTCTTGTTCCTAGATGGAATACTGTCACAAAAGAAGATCTCACCAAATTAAAACAAATAGACAATATGAAGGAATGAACTTGTTAGATGAATATATTCAAGAGGCTCTCTCTCTTCTTTCTCTCAAAAACACAATACTATTCAATCAAACTTGCTTGTGACAGCAAATGAATCAATATTAATTCAGAAAGACTAGGTCAGTAGTTACAAGTAGTCAAATTTTATTATCCCATTTGATACAACACTATTGGATACAAGACAAATCCAGAACTTCACCACTTGAAAGTTCCACATTGTGCTCTTCTCTCTCTCTACAGCAACATGTTTCTCTCTCTAGAACACCCCAAACAACACGAGGAACAAGGCCATCGCCGAAGCCAACCAAGCAGTAGCCACCACTCTCTCACTGGGGCTCACAATCTGAATAGGGAAAAGGCATGTGTCATGTGCTGGATTTTTTGTAGTGATCATGGCTAGCCCTTGGAAGTTGCAAGCCTGCACGTCCTGATCTTGAGTCTGCAACAACCAAAACACATAAAAATTGTGAAGTTGGATTAGACAGAATAGAACACACCTTACAAAATTCTCATAATCACTCGAGAGAGAGAGAGAGAGAGAGAGAGAGAGAGAGAGAGAGAGA